AAACGAAGTACAGCAGACTTATTTAAGACTTCTTTATTCAAACTGGCCTTCAGCTATATGTTGGGATTTCTTTTTGGTCTTTTTTTTTCTTAACATTTTTGGTGAGTGCAATTTTTGCAATTTAGATTTTAAAGATTTACTTTTGGGATTTTGGGCCTTTTTATATGACAGGACAGAGGACAGAGTTGGAAATCAGGGAGTGAGAGAGAGTAGGGAATGACATGCGGAAAAGCTAAGAGTTGTATAGGTTTTGTTTGTTTGGAAAAAGCCACAGTTCAAAGATTTTTGGGTTTGACAAAAAAAATATTTTTACTGGAAACCATGATTTTTAAATCTGAGAATGTGTAGCACTTTGTGACCCTGCTCTGTGAAAGGTGCCAGCAAACAACCTTTTCTTACTTGGCTATAAGGTCTGCAGGATACATACAAAAATAGTGAGGTGTGGGATAATGTAATTTAATTTTGCACTAACGATATTAAGTGCAATGGATAAATATTAAAGAGTCCATAATTAGCTATAACTCACACTTTCATTGTCTATCTGCTGTTCTTAATGGTTTACACCATATACCTGTGTTTGAAACATGCCATCGTAAAAACTGAATACAAACTGAATACAAACTGAATCAAACAATCAGCTGTGAAGGAGGGCAGCTGTGACACCGAGCGTCTCCTTAAGTGTGACATTCTACCTCTATCTTGACTGTTCACCTCTCACAGCATCTTGTCACTCTGACTCTATCGCTCGCCCCTCTCTCTCTCTCTCTCTCTCAATCACACCAAACATACGGACATAAACTCACCGTAACTATGGCTGCAGTTGCCATAACACGTGTCTCCCCCGGGTCCCCTTAACAGCCCCGCACAGGGGGGAAGGACAGCAGTGATCCAACTGTTGCCGTTGGCTTCAAATATGCATCATGGGTGGAATACGTCGGGGAAGAGATTGTTGGCCCACCCAGGCTCCTCAGCTGGTGCACCATCTGAAAAACACACAGTTTGTGTTACTCATAAAGAGGGTATTCATTTTGCATCATTTTAAAAATGCAAGGGGGGGGTTGAAGCCCTCGGGTCACATTTGATTGAAGAGCAGAGATATTTATCCCCCGTACTGCGGGAGAGTTGATGAACTCGGCAGCTCGGCAGGAACAAGAACGTTACTTTCTTTGGGGCGGCTGTGGCTCAGATGGTAGAGTCGCCATCGTCTCCTAAACTAGAAGCTTAGGGGTTCAATCCCCAGCTCCTGCAGTAACAAGTCCGATGTGTCCTTGGGCAAGACACCAAGTTGCTCCAGCTGCTGCGTTGACTGGATGTGATTGTGTATGAATTGGATTAGTTACTTCTGATGGTCAGCAGCCTCTGCCATCAGTGTGTGAATGTGTAGGTGTGACCTGCAGTGTCAAAGCACTTTGAGTAGTCAGAAGACTAGAAAATAAATATACAAGCTCAAGTCTATTTAACATTTACTTTCAAAGCCTTTTGGTGTTATTTAAACCAAACCTGAAAAATATCTGAAAACTCAAAGATTTAACCATTTCCTGCAAAAAATGGAAATACAGTTATGCTTGGTGATGATAGCGTCGCTTTTAGGATGCTCCCAGGGTTAGCCGAGCACTTTGCTATGGCTTTCCAGGGAGGGTAATAAAAAAACTAAAAAAAAACTGCTGACCTTAAGGGGGAAACCAAAAAGCTTTCAGGCTAGAAATGTGGAGGCTGAGGTGATGGAGACAAAGCTTTGCCACCAGCAGAGCAGTGTGAGCATTTTTGATGGCGCAGGGATCAGTAAGAAGAAGAAGAATTTATCCTCATAATAACACAACACAATACAGTTTTGCTTACACTGGAACTACTTTGGATAGACAACAATTGATTTTTTCCTATGTATTCAGAAAAAAGGTATTGATAATGTATTTGATAATGCACAGCTCAATATTCTTCCCTGGGCCACCCCTGTATTATACGGTATATACGAAGTGTGCAGAAACGAAGTGTAGACAGCTGAGAAATACCCCTGATCCTGTGAGGTCATTCTCTCAATGTCGTCACATGAAGTGAGTGTTGTGGCACCGTTTGATGACATCACCACTAAATTGTACTGCAGTCTCTCTTAAAAATGACTCACCCTCTGACTGACATGTGAAATGTAGTTTTTACCTCTCAGAGCCAATGAAAATGGACTGCCAATGTTGCCATGGGGACTAATTCAACATGTCACTTCACGACCCCATAATGCCGCATTTAAACCGCAAACTTTGTGACTTCCCCGGGAGCATAATATCTGACCTGTTTATACAGTCAAGCAATGCAAAATAAAAGCGGTTAAACTATTCTAGGGTTTTCAAAATAACAGAATAATAAACTCTAATATGATACTAGTAAAAATTATACAATATTGATACCTGGTTGGATACCATGGCAACAAAAATAGAGCTCCCATGCACCCATTATTGATTAATAATGACACAAACAATTGCACAAAGGCAAAAAAAGAATTCCGCAATTGATAAGACAGTCTCTCTCTCTCTGTCCATCTCTCTCTCTCTCTCTCTCTCTTTCTTTCTCTCTCTGTCTCTCTCTGTCTCTGTCTCTGTCTCTGTCTCTCTCTCTCTCTGTCTCTCTCTTTCTGTCTCTCTCTCTCTGTCTCTGTCTCTCTCTGTCTCTCTCTGTCTCTCTCTCTCGCTCTCTCTCTCTGTCTCTCTCTCTGTCTCTGTCTCTCTCTGTCTCTCTCTCTCGCTCTCTCTCTCTGTCTCTCTCTCTGTCTCTGTCTCTCTCTGTCTCTCTCTCTCTCTCTCTCTCTCTGTCTCTCTCTCTCTGTCTCTGTCTCTCTCTGTCTCTCTCTCTCTCGCTCTCTCTCTCTGTCTCTCTCTGTCTCTCTCTGTCTCTCTCTGTCTCTCTCTCTCTCGCTCTCTCTCGCTCTCTCTCTCTGTCTCTCTCTCTGTCTCTGTCTCTCTCTGTCTCTCTCTCTCGCTCTCTCTCTCTGTCTCTCTCTGTCTCTCTCTCTCTGTCCATCTCTCTCTCTCTCTCTCTCTCTTTCTTTCTCTCTCTGTCTCTCTCTGTCTCTGTCTCTGTCTCTGTCTCTCTCTCTCTCTGTCTCTCTCTTTCTGTCTCTCTCTCTCTGTCTCTGTCTCTCTCTGTCTCTCTCTGTCTCTCTCTCTCGCTCTCTCTCTCTGTCTCTCTCTCTCTGTCTCTGTCTCTCTCTGTCTCTCTCTCTCTCGCTCTCTCTCGCTCTCTCTCTCTGTCTCTCTCTCTGTCTCTGTCTCTCTCTGTCTCTCTCTCTCGCTCTCTCTCTCTGTCTCTCTCTGTCTCTCTCTTTCTGTCTCTCTCTCTCTGTCTCTGTCTCTCTCTGTCTCTCTCTCTCGCTCTCTCTCTCTGTCTCTCTCTCTCTGTCTCTGTCTCTCTCTGTCTCTCTCTCTCTCGCTCTCTCTCTCTGTCTCTCTCTGTCTCTCTCTGTCTCTCTCTGTCTCTTTCTGTCTCTCTCTCTCTGTCTCTGTCTCTCTCTGTCTCTCTCTCTCGCTCTCTCTCTCTGTCTCTCTCTGTCTCTCTCTGTCTCTGTCTCTGTCTCTGTCTCTGTCTCTGTCTCTGTCTCTCTCTGTCTCTCTCTGTCTCTCTCTGTCTCTTTCTGTCTCTCTCTCTCTGTCTCTGTCTCTCTCTGTCTCTCTCTCTCGCTCTCTCTCTCTGTCTCTCTCTGTCTCTCTCTGTCTCTGTCTCTGTCTCTGTCTCTGTCTCTCTCTCTGTCTCTCTCTTTCTGTCTCTCTCTCTGTCTCTCTCTCTGTCTCTCTCTCTCTCTCTGTCTCTCTCTGTCTCTCTCTCTCTCTCTCTCTCTCTCTCTCTCTCTCTATCTCTATCTCTCTCTGTCTCTCTCTCTCTTTTGGCAACTTTTGGTATTTTTTTTTAAAGCTTCAGTACTTTACAATATTTACAGTAGTTACCATGTTGTAAATTGTAACATTTTAAAACATGTGGTATCAGAAAGTATACCCGAGTATTGACAATCTAGACGACCTTCCTTGAAACTGTAGTATAAGAATTTCTTGTCCAATCCATCATTAAGGACTGTCTGGCTCCTGTCCACACTACATCATGATTGGGCACTTTTTGATCATTACACCATGCTTTATTTCTCTCCACTGGAGTCACTTACTCTCTCTGAAGTCATTTAAATTGATATTCTGGCATTGGTTTTCGAGTGGGTGTGCTGTACACTATCCCTGTGCAGACCCCTACCCTCCTATCCATCATCACTCTGGTGGCCTGGACTCTGCTCTGCTATGACAGAGCCACCAGGGGCAAACGTCTCTGTGCTCAGAGCAGTCACAAGTAGGAAGGGCAGCATGAGGCTGTGTACTGTACTGTCTTGGCTGCAGCTGCAGGCCGTGTTTTGGTTGGTAGCGTATTTGTCTCTGCTCTGTCAGCAGGTAGGTGGGCTGCAGTCTGTCGTTTTGTATTTTGACAGGAACTTGAAAAATTACCCTGCGCTTTCATTTTTCCTTTTTGGTGTTCTTGTCTTTTTTTTTCTTTGACTGTACATCGGACTCTTTGAGTATTTCACTGGGGATGAAAACTTTTTCGATAACAAAGAAACAAACACACACACTTGCACACACACAAACACATCATGTATGTCCTAAACATCAGAATCCGCTACATGAATGAGCAAGGTGGAAATATTGGTAGAAACTAAATTTGTTAAGCTAATTAAGAAGGGTAAATATAGTTCATGTTGAAATAGGTTGGCCTGTCCAAACACATGTTAGTGACCTGCTATAGGTGCACCACAGAGGACATCCTGACACAGTGCATCTGGTTGCATCTGCAGCTGGTTATCTCCAGTCCACAAAAGATAATTGGGACCCAGCTCCCAGCACTTTACTTTTTTAAATGGTGCATAAATGGCAGGTTGCAAACTCAATTTCATTGCAACTAGTACAATGACCAGAAAGATATTTTAGTATTTGTTTTCTCACGTCTTATTTCTGTTCCTATTTTGTTTCTCCACACAGTGAGGATGCAGAAGAGCCTGAACTCAACAGCCACGAGACTGCCGTTGTCAAGACCATGATCAAAGGACCGGCTGCAAAACACGGTGAGCACTGTGTTGGTGAAAGTTCACAAAGTTTTCAGGATGAGCCGAACGCAAACGGATGATTTTTTTTCATTCTGACATTACCCAGAGTTTTTCTATCAGCCACACTGGTAGAATTTTCCATAACAAGTCGGGTGAGCCGATGTGTGAATGCAACAGGTAAATATTCAGGAGAATTCACCACGAGTGAGTGAGCTGGGAAGACAACGATTATATTACAAGGCCGGTGCAGTCTTTGTGCACATAATGAGGCTGTTTCTGACTCTTTTCTACTATATCACTTCTTCATTGATACCGTAAATATGTGCAATAATATCTCGCATTGCGTTGGTTGCGGTTGCTTTGTGCCAGCGTTGCTTGTCAACTTTACACCAAAATGGCCAAAAATGTGCAGAATTTGCAACAACAGTGGTAAACCTCCCCAAGGCGGCCCCATCTGACAGCACTCACTCTCGTCGCCCTGCCAAGTGTTGCAAACCATTATTGCTGTGAAAACAAAAGTGAGTCAATGAAGAAAAATGAAGAGGAATTATCCATCTATACGAGAGAAAAAACAATAGAGGAGGAGGAGTCTGCGTCAGGACACTGGCAGATGTGATGGTGATGGAGGCTGGTTGGAAGGCCCCCAAATTGATTTTTGCCTCAGACCCAAAAGACTCCAGAATCACCGTCAGGGTCGTGTTCTTGCAATGCAAAAAAAAATCTAGACATTTTGTGGAGTGCATGTGTGAAAAAGAAGAATTTGTGTGTGTGTGTTTGTGTGTAGTTGCAGGACCCTATCCATGGTTTTTAAATATGTTCATAATGAGCGAGTCACCTTTGATTATTCCTCCTTATGTAAAATATGATTTATAAACCTGGGACAAAACCACAAATGGCGTGTCTCCTATGAATTGACTAAAGAACAGTTCTGGCTCTGAGTGCTTATTCATTAAGTCTTGAAAACATGGGTTTCTGTGACAAGATTACATTTTTATTCATAGGGCCATTGGCAGGATGAAATCTTTGGAGGAGCAACGCTGCCAAATTCAACAAAAGTGAATTTGTGTGCTTGTGTGTGTGTGTTGTAACCGTGTGTGTGCTTTTACCGTAGGCATGTTGCGGTTATTTTCTCACTAAATTAACCACTGGAATAAAATCAGACTAAAGGTGCCTGAACTGTTTTCTTTGCATAAGTCATGGCGTGCATACATGCATACCCATGAATGTGGAGTCCCCTAAATAGACTCCTTAAAATAGACTCTCCAAATCTTCTTTGAAGTTTCCATTTTGACTGATTAATATATCCCCTTCCTTACAGTTTAAAAAAGTGTTTTTTGTCCTTCATAAAATGTTCCCAATTCGTGGCAAACTGATTTACTGCTTTTGGACTGAATGTTGTTGCAGCCAGTTAGGAAGGGAAAAAAGAGGCTTTATTTCCATGGCTGAAGCGTGACATATGTTGTGAAATAGGTCATTGCAGACTCTCTTTTTTTTTTAAACTTCTCTCGTCTTTTTTCCTCCGTGGAAGCCCATTAAGCATGTGAGAAGGCCCCCGCTCTGCCTGTGGCGCCTCGCTCAGTCACACGTGCAACAGTTCGACTCTGTCAGAAAGATAATATTTATGGAAAAGACCTGTCGGGAGTTATGAGTTGTTAAGGCAAGCTCCAGAGCTGCAGTATAATCACCCATCAGCGCCCAGAACCAAGGATTCTGAAATCGAGCATCTTTCCAGCTCATTACTCTTATTGTTATTTCCATATTAATATGGACAAGCGTGTCCTTCTTTTTCTGTTGTGAAAATGTGAGGCCAAAATACCCCGCGACTTGCTGACACACTGAGCTGGTGACGCACTTTGGTACCAAGAGATGTGCAGAAGGGAGCTGGAGGTTGAAACCGCGGGATTGACGCTACTACCCTTCCACTAACTGAAGCACACATTGAATTTACTGATAAAATGTCAAATGAACCCCTCAGGTCGATACAGTCCTCAGCAGAACAGATTCTTGTGTCAGTTTGGAGCAGACACTTACGTTTCTGGAAATGTTCAATGTTTACTGTTTGTTGTTGTTACCTTCTTTCCTCTTCTACTCTGCTCTGCTGATCCAGCTAAGAACGCTGCAAAGAGACAAATTTGTCAACAGAACTGTCGATCATGGCGTTCTTTTTTTTTTTTTTGCATCGAATAGCAAATTAAAACAAATCTACTCAAAAAAAGAAGAACACTTGTACATAAATCAGCATGATAATAAGTAACAACAGAATCAGGGTTTGAAGTGAACAATATTTGACATAACGGAGGTGGTGTGGTGTGTGACCTATACCGCAGCCAGCCAGGAGGGGGAGCTCTAATTACATTGGATTGACTTCTAGGTGGCTGTTGCCCTGTCCATATTAATATACAGTCTATGGTTATTACCATACCAAAACGTACATATATCTAACTATTAGTCCATCTATTTATTTCTGAATATTTGTCTTAGAAACACCTACCTGTGCTTCAGCTGTTTGCACATCCTGTATGCACTGTTTGCACTAGCCTTCTCCTCTCCCCGAGTTCTCTCTCTGATGTAACTGCCACTCAGCATAAATAGTAAATGCAGTCACTAACCAGGGGACCCGGGCTCATGAAAATATACTGCCAGCTGTAAAGTGCCCGAGTGAGCAACTTACATGTTTTGCATCCAGTAAAGAAAGCCAGACCTTCAGCAACTATCCTGCTGCAAATGCCCGCTGTAAAACAAAACTGGCACAGTGTTAAAACTGTGATCACAGTAACGCTGTAACCTGCATTCTCCACTTTCCTGATGACAGTCTTTCTAATTTAGTGCATGCTGTTGTGAACGAACGACAGCTTCACTTACAGGTTGACAGTAAACTGAGCACAACATCTTACCTAAAACTGTCCTTAAATGTAGCACATGACTGACACTTGTTGCAGAAAATGGTGTATTAATCAGTATTTATATGTTTGTATCTTGACCATCTTGCTGCTGTATTTAGATTTCTTGTTGGACTTTCTTTATTTACTATTGTGTTATTGTGGAAAATCAATGTTTTAATGTCAGCATTTTACACAATGTCAGTTTGAAGACTGTTCTTACAACATTGTGCACATTTAAATAGAAAATCATGGATGTAATTGCTGTAAATTTAACTTTTTCCTCCTACAATTTTACTCTTCCAACAACTTTTTCTCAAATCGTTAAGTCACAGAAGCTTAAATATTCAATATGTAGGATGTGGACCCACAAGCTTCACTTTCACCTTTGGGTAGCAGTAGCTCAGTATGTAGGGACTTAGGTTGGAACTGGAGGGTCACCAGTTCAAGTCTGGGTTCTGTCCAAATCTGGAAATTGTTCTGGTGGCTGGAGAGGTGCCAGATCACTTCCGGAGCACTGCCAAGGTGCCCATGAGCAAGGATCTGAACTCCCCCGCTGCTCAGGAGCGCTCACTGTGGGAAGCCCCCTCACTCTGACATTTCTCATAAGTGCATGTCCACAGGATCATGTTTGTGCATGTGTGTGTGTTTCAGCCTGTGTTAAATTGAATTTCCCCTCGCAGCATCAATAAAGTATATCTTCTTCTTCTTCTTCTTCTTCTTCTTCAAGCAGCTACACATTTTTGTAATGAAAATGTATGAAATGACAACGTTATAACAACATGGAAATGGTTGTTTGTGTTGATAAATCCACAGGGGATATCCAAAATCAGTCTGTTCAATCAGCTTTATGCACCTTAGGAAGAAGTTTCAGCTTTTTTTTTTGCCATAGTCTGGCCCACAGATTTCCTACAGCGTATTTGTATTTAAGCTTTTTGCTCTCCTCACCACGTGTTGAACGACATGCAGCTGTTTTCAGCCTGAAAGCTGTAATGCTAATGTGAAGTTAAACGCAAAGTTAGCAGTTACCTGGTGAACAACACGGATCATTTAGCTGTTTAAGAGTTAGATACTTTGATTGTCATGTTGCTCTAAAGCTGCTGGATGTGCAGCTGTCCAAGTCCAACAAATCAACTACAGAGGAAATGGTGCTATTTTCAGAGTCTTTAAATTAACCTGATCTTAGCCCTACCATTAAATGATAACCCACCTCTGTCCTTTTGCCAAAACACACACAATTAACATGTCACGTAATGGTAAGGCCCCTTAAGTAGACCCTGCCGCACCACGCCAACACGACCTAAAATACACATCCACAGCGTGGAGATCAAAGGCCAGGCTACGTGTTTAGCCAGGTGTCTAGGCTTCGGCTGAGGGAATGTCTTGGTGGTCCAAGTGTGTGAATGTGTGTGTGTGTGAATGTGTGTTTGGTCATGTGTATGCATGCACATATGCCATAGGAATGTGTGTTAAAGTTGGAGTGAAAGATCCGGGGAAGATTGATGCAGTGAATGCACGGTTGTGACACCAGTAGTCGGCCAGCTGCAAAACCCCGCTATGACACCTGCTGTGTGTATAGACAGAGAGGGTAGGGGTCAAATAACTTACACACCTGGGGAAGAAAACATAGACACACACATGAACACAGATACTTTGTCTTTTCCTTTTGCCGTCTCTGCCTCTTAACCGATAAAGCTTTTTGTTCCTCTTCTATGTGCTACAGGTTACGGTCCACACACTGGTTTGATCACACCGTCTTTCGGTATGAAGGGTAATAATGGAAGTGCCAACGTCCCGAGGGGTCCTGTCCCCACCCGACCTCTACCCCAGCCCCACCCTGAGGACACCCTGGTTCAGATGGCAGAGCACATACCTGCTGGAACTCGAACACCCATGTGTGCTCACTGCAACATGGTGATCAGGTGAGGATCAAATATGATGTCTTATATTGTCAACTTAGAGCAGCCATACTTTGCTTATTTCAAGTTCTATATTTTCCACTTTGTGAAACACCTGTGGTAGCTTAGCATGATTTACCCTTCTCTTCAGCCTCTGCGTGACAAAGCCCAATTCAGGTACATGCTTTTTATGCCTCCCTACTCCCTATGAGTAGTGGACTATATAAATTATATAGTGAACGCACTGGCCACTTTCAGACACTTTATAGGGTATATGATAATGCTTACAGTAAATCCGACAGCACTACATAACGATAAGTGCTCTCTCACACGTACAGTTACTGATTTAAAATGTGCTTGTGTTAAGTTGGAATATCCAACATTGTCTAAAAATAATGCTTTTTACCAGAGAAGGTAGGCGGTTTTAATGAACCCCCACACAGCCGTTTTGGACGCCCCTCGGTTTACCAGGCAAACGGCAAAGCAACAAGTGTTGCAGCGATGTAAGTGCACAAGCAAACTGGTTCGTAAAAGAGATTAAAAAGCATCTGCCTCAGAAAATTAAGAAAAAAGCGTCAGAAACGAGGATAAATAACGAAAGTGCTTTTTAAAAAATAGAGAAAGGTTAGAATGCAGAAAGGTTTCTAGACCGATGCAGAGCTGGCTAAACACTGAAGCTTCAGTGTCCGCAACATGGCAACCTGTGCGAGCATCGTCTCTAGAGAGGAGGGGGCGGGGGGAGACAGCTCTCTGCAATGTTTTGAATTTAGACTGCAGTACCCATCTTAAACGCTACGTGTCAGAGTTACATATTGCTCCTTTAAGACTCAGGAAGGAAACAGTGTAAGGAGTTTATTTCGGCAACATAATGCCCATTTACTGCGTGCACAATGATGATAAGAAAAGATGGCTGCAGATGGCTGCACAGACATCCTTTTGTACTCAAGCAAATTGAGTTGGGAAAGGAAAATATGTCCACCCTTTAATAATTCAGAATCCCACTGAGGCACTTGAAATAATTAACTTGAAACTGTCACAAGTAAATAATCTGCGTATGAAACAGTAGAACTACAAAGATCTGGCTGTAGTGGAGATAAGGAGAGGGGGATTAAGTTGCACCTACAGGAGATAAAACTTTAAATGTTTTAGATGTGGATTAGCAGCTAGCAGCTTAAAAGGAATGACTAGAAGATTACAATTGTTTTAAAGCTTTTGGCATGATTTACTTGCAAAATGTTGTGCTCAAGTTTAAACATAGGGTTTTGTGCAAGTCAAGAAATGTTTGTATATCACAATAGATTTTCTTCTCCGCCTCCCTCCAGTCTTCCTTCTCTCTTCTCGTCCAGCAGCTGACTTCCTTCCAACCCAAGAGTAACACCTTGTGTCACCTTACATTACATACCTCTAACGGTAGCGTGGCCAAGCTTGTGCCTCTATCAGACAGAGCTCGGATAAAGTCAGCCATTGTGTGCAGGAAATTAGTCTCTGTTGTTTTCCCACTTAACCTAATCACCAGGGGACAGTGCCAAGGTGCTGCCTGAGGAGACACACTGGATCTCCAAAACGTAGCTAATGCAACACTAAGTGAACAGAATGGAAGGATTAATAGATTAGTTGAAAGGAATCTAATAAAACAAAATAATGTGATCACCCATTCATTATTTAAAGGACCTGTGTGTAGTAGGATATATTGGTACAAATGGAGCACACCTTTCTTAGTGTGTTTACGTTGTGTTGTACTGCAGAAGCCAAGAACAGAAACACAAATGACCGGATCTAAAAACATTTCTCCTGGTTTCAAGAGTTTTGCAGCCTTTCTCCTAACATTTGGTAAGGAAGGTGAGAGGTTATCAAATGGTTGCAATCTGATACCACACTACTGTACCACTAAATTGTGGTCCTCAAACACAGTTGACAGTAGCATCAGTTTTTATCAGTAGTCATGGTAAGTCATTCATAGATTTAAGAAAAACGACACAACTCTATGACAAACAGCCGCAGAGCCAGACTTTACTCGACTGGGGTGGCCCAACTGGGTCACTGATTTATGAAGGGTGGTATGGAATTTGTGCACAAAAAAAAAGGAATATCTGGGGTTGGTGGGGTAGGGGTTAGAGCACGGGCCCCACGTACAGAGTCTGTACTCCTCAACATGGGCGGCCAGGGTTTGAATCTGACCTGTGGCTCTTTTCACAAAAGTTATTCCCCACTCTCTCTCTCTCCTTGATTTTCCACTCTATCCACTGTCCTATCTCCACAATAAAGGTGTACAAAGCCCAAAGATAAACCCTAAAAAAAGTGAATATTATTTCGACTTTAACGACGAACATGAATGTTTTTTTTTCAGTACAAATATATTTCTTTAACTTCTTAAAGTAACACAACAAAGTGAACACGTAAAAATCTTCTTAGCTTAGTTCATTAAGAACTCAAACAGACGATTTGTGTGGCCAGATTCACTGTGAAGGAAATGTGACTCATCTAAATGTAAACACGGCTACAAGAAGGCTGCTGCCACACAGCCCAAATAGTTCAATCTCACATAAGTCCCGCCTCTGATTGGCACATAGATAGCCAATCGTAGTTTAGGATTTTGGGATGGCCACTTGGGGGGGTCAATTAGATTTCTATGGCCACACCTTAGATCCACCCCTGCTGATAAAAATTTACCTGTTTGTATCTACTTGCTGATGACTCCATTATGTTCTTCACAAATATTTTTATGTTCCTTAATTTTAAGGTTGAAGGATTTTTATGTGAATCCTCAAACAATCCACACCTCCTGTTGATCAGTATTGTACGTTGTTCTTAACTGTATATTTGAAAAAATACATTTGGAAAAATGTGATAAATACATTCTGAGAAACGAAACACTAAGTCAAAGTCCTCAGTCGATTGACATTACTTTATTGAGGTCATTTTTGTCTATTTGCTGGTGGACATGCCAATAAGTTGTTGATTTCTTCTCATCTTTTTCTCTCTTTGGGTGTTATTTGTTCCAGAGGCCCATTTTTAGTAGCGATGGGGAAATCTTGGCATAAGGAGGAATTTAACTGTGCCCACTGCCGTACCTCCCTGGCAGATACAGGCTTTGTGGAGGAACAGGGCTCAGTCTATTGTGAACACTGCTATGAAGAGTTCTTCGCTCCATCGTGCAGCCGCTGCCAGGAAAAGATACTCGGGGTGAGTCTAAATCTGTCCGTGTGTGTGTTAATGTGTGTTGTCTGGCTGCTCTTTGCTGTCTCGTGAACCTTGTTTGCAGACTTTCCAGATTGCAAAAGAATGTAAATATGACAACTCAGATGAAATGAAAGTGCAGGGAGAGAAAACAGCCACAGTGTTCGGCATTTATTCTCAGGGTGCTTCTTTAAGCTAGCACCCTCTACTTATTACAGATGGCCTTGACATTGTGTTTGGCTATTTTCTTCCCCACCCATTTTTTGCTTCCACAGAGGATTGTGTTACTTTTGTGCTTAGGACATTTTGCAACATTTCGTCTTCTTAATCTTCATCTCTAAGAAAGCTCAGGTTCAGCAGGGTACACACTACAAGATTGGGGGTGGCAGTAGCTCAGTCTGTATGGACTTAGGTTGGGAACTGAAGGGTCGCTGGTACAAGTCCCGATGCGGACCCTAACATGGAAGGTGGTCTGGTAGCTGGAGAGTACTGCCGAATACTGCCCTTGAGCAAGGCACCAAACCGCCAACCGCTCTGGTGCGCTCAGTGTGTAGCAGCCCCACTCTGTGCATGTGTTGAATTTAAAATAATCCCGATGTTAATTCTGTGAGCTAGTTAACAGCATTTTTTAGTATGTGTTAGCATCGAGCTAATGAACCAATCCCCGTCCATTGGTGCTTCATTTCAGCCACGCTGTAGCTCCAATCTCAATCGATACATAACCAGAGGGTCAACGAAGGAACGTTTAGGTTTAGTGACCAGTTCTTTAGTGACCACCGCTGAAACTCAGGAATGTGGTACATGTCGGGGTGTTAAGAGAATTAGGCTTAGAGGCCCAGAGACTGCAGGTGTAGCATGAACCCATGAGTGACAGGAAGCTGAGATCTCTGCGCTCGCCACCGCACTGACATTCATCCCTCACGTGTTCTAACCTCTTTAGCCTCAATCCCTTTCAACCCTCCATTTCTCACACATCTTCAACCAGCTTAAGGCTTCTTATTAACCTATTTTCTCACTCTCTCTCCGCTAATCCTTCATTTTAACCCCGGCCCACCAACTTTCCATTGATTCCCTGTCCTGTCTTGTTCTCACAGTTTAAGGGTGGGAAAGAAAGCAGTTTGTCTTTTTTAAGCCGAGTCATGTGGCCCGACGAGGGGGGGGGGGGGGGGGGGTAAGAGATTTAAATATGTCATGAGAAAAGGACAGACTGTAGGAAAGGCTATACATTTCTGTAAAACAATTAAGCTTGATTTATACAATCAGAGTTCTGCCTTTAACAATAGGTGGATTGTGGGGTGGTGGTGGTGGTGGGGCTAACAACAAGAGAGCAGTACAGGTCAGAGATGCAGAGGGGGAGACCGGATATCTCTCACCTTAAATAGACCGCCAATTTTATGGAAGTGTTGTCAGGTGATTGTTGATAATGATGCATGTCAAGTCTGAAATCAGTGCAGGTAGATATAGAGCTGTCGGCCAGATATCGCCTCATATATGACAGTGTTACCACATGCTTTAAAACGATACAATCGATGATTTTTTTTATTTATTGATAGTATAGAAAAAAGTACAGAAGCTTTTAAAAAAAAAATGCAGATCTTCAAACACTTCATGTTTCAACCCAAAGTTGCCATGAGCAAAGCAGAGGTGGTCCGTTCAGATATACCGGTGGGCAAATACTGACCAAGCAGCAACCTCTGGTGTTGAAAAATAAAGACAATGAGGAGGTGCAAATTCCTACAGTCTGTCGATTTTCCTCTTTAGGTGTTTGCATAAGTACTGGAAGTTACATACACACCCCAAAAAATATAATTGGTCTAATAAGCTCATGTCTTGATCGGCACACACTGTACTGGGGTTGAATTTTTTGATAACTAATTCAAATTTTTATAAAGAATAAGTGTTGTACACAAGGCGCGTACAGTAGCTGACCTGATTGACAGGCGGGCGCGATGTAAAAGTTTGTCAAGAGGCTTAAAACTTGCCTCAGCTCCAGCTCTTAGTCTGTTATTAAGTTGACTGAAAGTCAGGGTGAGCTCCCTGCAGTAGCAAATGGGTGATGTCGCTCAGGCTTCCTCCATTAATATTTACAGTCCATGGTACTGATGTATCTCAAGTCCATTTGGCGTAAAGAAACCAAATCAGAATCAGAATCTGGGTTTATTGCCAAGTACATTTACACATACAAGGAATTTTACGTGGTGTATTGGTGCTAAACAATTAACAAGGAAATAAAGCAGAACTAGCAACAACTTAAATAGTACAGTATAAGAAGATATTACAATATATAAAATATAATTTAAAAATATGAAATATAAAAAACACAAAATGTACAAAAGGTGCAATGTAGGAGCTGTGCAGTGGACTATGAGAAAAAAAAAATCTTAATGTGTGTAACGTTATGTGTATTTGTCTTGTGAACAGTAAGAGAGCAGACTTCTGGTTACAAAACATTGTTCATGCATTTGGGCATCAAAACAAGAAATTAAGCAATATCTCCTCTGTTTTTGTTGCTGTTGTGTTCAAACGGGTATCAATATTGTTTGATATTTCCTCGTATTGTATTTAAAAATGTAAAACTCTGTCATGGTGACCAACCAGTCGAGAACCTAACTTTAGTTCCTCCACCCTCTGATTGAGTGGATCTCATTTTCCAGTCTCAATAATCAAAACATCCAAAAAATGGCTCCTGTGATGATCTGGATGATACGCCCCACTAACCACATTGTTTGCATTTCCACCTAGGAGGTGATAAACGCCCTCAAACAGTCGTGGCACGTCTACTGCTTCCTGTGCGCTTCCTGTCAGCAGCCCATCAGAAACAACACCTTCCACCTGGAGGACGGAGAACCTTTCTGTGAACAAGGTGTGTGAGTGACGAGATCTCTGAACAAAAAGCTCAAACACTGACGCCGAGCTGATGAAGGATGTCCAATCGACAGTTTGCACCTGATATTAGCAATGTGGTCGTTTTACTCCACACTAAGCGAACATCCCTAATCACAGCTGTTCACGCCCGGCCAGATAATGCACCTCAACATGTGTGTCCAATGATGAGTTGTGATTGGCTCTCACTCTCCAGCCTCATATGTAAATGAACCTGGAGCCTCACTCATCTTGGTAAGCCTTTAAGAGCTTCAAATAATAAAAAAAACACCTGATGATGTCATGGCAGAGGATTATTAAATCAGGCAAATGTGACAGGTGAGTGGCCTGTAACTCCACATGAGCGTTGCCATGGATACGGGGAAATTGGGTGGTCCTTAAAAGCTTTATATGTGATTTTTCACACTTAAATGTAATATAAATCAAGTATATCCTCTGAAAATAACTCTGTGAGTCATGACTGTCTACAATGGGTGTAACACCCGAGTCCCACTGTCTGTGATGTTTTCAGAGTTTTCAGAGTCCTATCTTCAGTTTGTTTACATCGCCAGGACGGCAAATTAATTAAAGACGTAAAAAAGGAATTTAGAAAAAAAATTCTCAAGGGGGTCCCCACCAGAGGTTGATGCTATATGGGGGTCCTTGATTTGATCTCCCAGGACACATGTTGGTTCCAGGTGTAAACAGGGTCACAACAATCACTTACAGAAGAGTCATAGTTAGCTCTGGTTAAGCTCTTTAATCAAGTTAATCTTCAGAGCGTTTAGATCTAATGAAAACTCTTGGGACTCCGCTGCGGCACAGTTAATCGACCACTAACTCTGTTGAGACTTCTACAATTTGATTAGCCATTACAATTGGTAACTATGAATCGGTCATGTAATGTATGCCCTCTTCTTTTGTCTGTCAAATAGACTTCTACAGCCTGTATGGGACCAGCTGCCATGGCTGTGAATTCCCAATCGAGGCTGGAGACAAGTTCCTGGATGCCCTCGGTTACACCTGGCATGACACCTGCTTCGTCTGCGCTGTGAGTGAAAGCTTCATTATGCTTCGTTATGTTTATTCAGACTTTATCAAGAACAGAATCAAAAATACTGCATTTATTCACGAGGTATGTATCAACAATACAAATATGCTACACAATATGAATAAAGAAATCTACAATGAGTAAGAAATATAAACATGTAAGTAATTCATACATACATTAAGCAAGTTCCAATTATTTTTTACTTTTGTAATTTAAATGTTGTAAGATTTTTCTTAAGCATCATTGTGTATCTTTGTGTGTCCTCCTTCTCAGGTGTGCTGCACCACTCTGGAGGGCCAGTCCTTCTTCTCCAAGAGAGACAAACCTCTTTGCAAGAAACACGCTCACACACTGAAGATATGAAGACTTCTCTCGTGTCCTGTCGTCGTACATTTACTCTTAGTTTTTTGGTGTACAAAGGCCAATATATAGATGTTAACTCCACACGACATGGACATACAGATAGAAGTCGAGAAAAGGGAAACGTAGCCATGGATGCAAAAAGTTTATATACATGTTTAAGGACCCTGATCCACTGCAGAAATAATAATGTATTTTCTTTCATGAGAAGAGTTCTATATTTAATTTGATTTGATTTTTGGGATTTTGTTAAATCATGCAACCAGCAAAACAGGAGTTCTTCTTCTGAACGGGGCAATTTTGATGTACTACCAAGGCAGAAATTTAATAATATATTTACTTTTGTGATCTAATTTTTTTTCTTTTTGACCAGAATTGAATCTTGTCCTTGGAAAAGCATCAAACCACACAACACATTAGAGCAGTGGTTCTCAACTCGTCCAGCCTCAGGACCCACCAGCAACACCTCCAGGAGGAAACCGACCCAAATTTCAGAATTGTTTAAACCAACAAAATACAATTTTATGAAAAATTCTGCAGTTTGGATCTGAGACGGTACAAAACATGTGACAGATGCAAGAAACTGTACCAAACAAACACGTTAACAAAGCGCTTCACAGACTTTTTGACCCTTTCCTGACCCACTGAAAACAGCTCCACGACCCGCTTTTGGCTCCCGACCCACCAGTTGAAACCACTGCATTAGAGCACAGTGCCAGGAGTGAAAATATATATTCATATGCAGACAATATGAAAGAAAGATTGGGATGTTGGACAGTTTTAAAGTATTTAAAAAACAAAATAATAATGTTAGTATATCTATCGCAGTGATTAATAAAAAAACGATAAGAAAGGTCACATGAAGGTCGGTTAGACCAAAACGTATGCGTCAGTATAAAGTGAGACAGTGTGCAAAGTGAATAATATTCAAATATCTGACCAGCTGCTGCTGCTGCTAAGTTCAAAACAAACATCAGCCATCCAGTTTTTTTGGTCAAACTTTATTATATTTAATTGTTGTTTTCTTTGATGCAGATTGAAAGGCAGGGTTGGTAATTCTGGAAAACTAGCATGATTTTAGTCAGCAGCAACCCCCTCCCCTCTGTGCTCCCTCATAAAGCCACGCCCCCTCACTTACATGCACGAGCGCCATTGGTCCAAAGCAGACCTTAGCTCATTGTTTGCATTGTGTAGAAATTGTCTCATTCAGCGGTAAGTAAACACTAAAATTTATCATAATACATGTGGAAAAAAAAAGGGGCCTATTCGGCTACTCACACTGGCCAACGATAAACTCACAGTATGAACTCCATCATAGGTGAGGCGCTTTGAGTGTGGGCTAGTGCAGGCGAGGGGTAGAGAACAAGCAGGGAGACAGGAAGGCGCCTGATTGGTTCATCAGATTGGTACCTCGTGGCAGACATTGGTCAAAGTTTTTACAGGCTTACAAACTGCTACAGATGACGAATTTTCTTTGTTCCTTTTGAGTTATTCATTTCTGTCAGGATCTAAACACAACTTCAACCAAAATCTGAAAAGATAATTTTTTATTCTATACAGTGATTGAAATATCGCAATCTGCATTAAAAGATTTCAAAAATGTACTTTTCATACATGTAAGCTTGATGTCTGGGGGTGACTGTGAAAGCTGTTGTCTCCAATCAGCCCTTAGACTTACACCACCTTTTTTTACTCCCATTTTAATGATTGATGATGTCCATCACACGGGATGACAGACGTTGTCAGAAATGTTTCTGGTTTTGAAAAGTCACATTTAATATAAAGAATGTGGAACAGTGAGGCACTTGAGACAGATAGATGTGATCTTGATTGATAGCAGGGAACTAGCATAAAAAAAAAAAAAGATTCAAACTGAATGAATACATCAGAAAATATGAAGCCGATATCTTCACGTTACTTTGAATTGAACGATTGATTTCCGGTTGATTCTTCCTCCAAACGTTTGTTTAGACGCTCTTGCTGGCCTGGCCTACAGTGAGGAAGGTCAAACATGGATCCTACAGTATCACCCTTTAAGTAAACTGTGTATACATGTTTTTGTTTATGGGGGGGGGGGGGGGTTGTTTATTGTCCTATCTGATAATATGTGTTTCATTGTTTGGGCGACTGGGAATTCTTGATCCAGGGACTGGTTCAGGGAATAGATGGGTGGTAGTTGGTTCTGTGGTTTTAGTTTCTAATTTGACCTCTGGCCATGTCAAAGCGTTGATTTGGAGATATTTACTTTTCATTATGTCTAAGGGTTTTTTTTTTTCTATTTCTTTCTAAAACTCAGTCTTTTTATTTAAAAAAATGAAGCTCTGTTTGTATTGGACATGATGTGGGCTGGTATGGTGTACAATAGTAAACACAATGCTACATTCTCACCTTATAAAGTTATTTAAATCGACCTGAGTTGTATAATAAATAATATGCTTTTTAAAACCCCAAGAGAAATATGCTGTGTTTGTTTTCCTTTCTGTCAGTGTAACATTATCTTAGCAACACTGGACTTCCTGTATTATGACTTGAGAAAGCACACAGCAGCACGGACGAGTCCGACTTAAGCAGCGTGAAATGCAGATTTTCAACGCGTGTCTCCACCACGCTGAGAAAGGTCAACGGAGTCAGAGATGGAAACAGAGGTGAAGTGGACACTCGGAGAGAGAGGAGAGCTGAAGAATCCAGACAGTGTGAATCTGAATGTTAGTCAAATATCTGCAGTGTATGAGTCATCACATGACAAATTAATAAACTCAAATTTCCTCTTAGAACAAACCTACCTATACTTCAGTAGAAATAAAGTAGAAAACAACTTAGATCAGTTATATGTCATGTGCTGGCTGTCCCCACGGCATCCATTAAATATTCCATTCTTTGCTCTGTGAATTTCAAATTTCCCTTTCAAATAATAGCACATCTATACTTTTGTATTGAAGGTGGATTAACGAATGTGTGGAATTATGTTGGATTAGGTGGAACATGCATTTCTAATGTGGGGGACCACCACCATCGTTGGGCTTCATACGGCCTCTTCATAAACCTACAGGTGACACCAATGAGACTACGTCCATGTTCATACAGTCTATGGGGTCAAACAGAATGTGATCTGTGTCTAAGTTTCAGCTGGATGTAGCTAATCAGCACTGGTGTGACTAAATCAGTCCTCCAGTTATTTACGATATCTAACACAGTGCTAATTCATTTAACTTTTAATAATGTGGTGAGAGGCTGCACGGTGGTTATTTTAGGGGTCAGCGATGTCGCCTCACAGCAAGAAGGTCCCTTGGTTGAATCCCCCGTTGGAGAGCGTCTTTCTGTGTGAAGATGTCATGTTCTCCCCGGGCATGTGTGGGGTCTCTCCGGCTTCCTCCCACAGTCCAAAGACACGCTCGTTAGGTTAATTGGTGACTATAAAATTGCCCTTGAGTGTGAGTGTGTCAGCCCTGTGATCGGCTGGCGACTGCCTCTTGTTCAATGACAGCTGGGATCGGCTCCAGCCCCCAAATGACCCCGAATGATTTTTGATGATTAAAACGGTCAACTTTGTTTTCCCTTGAAGCACCTGCGAAAACCTTTTTACCCTTTCCCATGTGTAAGTAGTGTTTACTGATGACAAATCCCATCCTGCTGTCCTTTAACAGTCACACACATCACTCAATCTGTGCCGTGAAAATGTAAATAAAGGCTGTTTTGGGCAGGGTGCTCTTTATCACCTGACACCTACAGCAGAGTTTACAGGCATTCAAAACAACTCTAATGAAATAATGAATCTTTTGGGTTTTGTAGGTCATACCGAGGCATCAATATTCTTTTCAGTCAGTTTCATAATAAGGTAAACACTCCTTGCAGGAGCTTATAATACTTGTTCCAATTAAATAAGAGTGGAAAAAAATCCTTGAACTATACGGTAAGCAACATGAACTTTCACATGGAAAAAAAACACAAAGAACCTGGATGATGTTAGTTTGAAACTTGACTGTTGCCAAGCAACCTAAACATTCTCCTCAGAGAGTTGTTTGATTGTCTAGTTATATGCAAGCTAACTTTGATCGGTTGTTTTTAAGAGCTAAAGGAGGGCGCTGACAGACACTGATCAGATTTGTTTGAAAGAAAATTTCAATTCTTGAAATTGATTTTGAACATATATTTGGGTAACCTGACTGTCTACAGACCCACAACATGTGAAATAAACCCATCCAGTCCTTTGTTTGTGGTCTGCATAAGTCTTACAACACAGAGACAAATGCTCCATTTCAAATTTGCTCTCCATGTGATGTCACAGTGGGATTCTGGTAAAAAAAAATCCCCTCCTCTCCCCTGATATCTCCACCCATGGACTCCACCCCCAGCCTAGAACAAAACTTTTGCGCAGGTCCGCTATTTTTATTCTCACTACAGAGGAGTGATGTCGCCCGTGAAACTCAGGGGGGGTTCATTACATTTAAAGAGACACACACACCAAAACGGAGCGTTCTGAGAGAGCTGGTTTCTACAGGGTCACAAACCTCCTCTGGTGCTTGATTCATGTTATATTTTGAACAAAGCACAGCACAGATGTTTCATTTAGACCACAGGGGGACTGTTTGAAAAAGTTTGAAAATGGAGTATAATACATCCTCTTGAAGCCTCTTTGACAAACCTTTCGCCTAATTTGAATAATGCTCATCTTTCATCTAATCAAAACTAATGAGTTTTCCTAAATTTTTCCCCCTGTACAGCGTGTGCCGATCGAGACATTTGCAGACCTAATCTGACATATTTCATTTTCTTAACCAGGCTGTAAACATGTTAATTTCTGGTGTAAAAATTAGATTTTTTTTTTAAATGGGGTGTGCATGTGACTTCCAGTGCTTCTGCAGTGGACACTTGATGAACTGCAGGATTATGCTCCTCCGCATCGGCTTCATTCTTCAACACTGGAGGTTGCTGCTTGAAAAAAACACAGATCAGTTGTGTATTTTTAGTTGTTTATTATTTATTAGACAGTAAAAGATCGGCTTGTGGAAACCTTTTTAGAGAAGCGCATGTCTTCAGTCACTTCTCTGCAGGTAGTGCACTCCTCTGTGGCACTTATCACCCTCCATACAGCTGAGTGAATTATAGAGGTGCAGAGACTGAGTGTGTGTGTGTGTGTGTGTGTGTGTGTGTGTGTGTGTGTGTGTGTGTGTGTGTGTGTTTGGTTGAGCGCGTGAGAGGGAAAAGAGAGCGAGAGGGAGAGAGAGAGAGAGAAAACAGTACAGTTTGAAAAAAGCTATAGTAGGCTACTCAGGCGAGGAAACAAGACTGACCAGCAGCATCGTTCACCGGACTACTGACGACAACTTCCTTTTTCTCCATCGAAATAAGAAGGTGAGTAGGCTAAATCAGGCGCGTGACATCAAGTGGACGTTTCTTTCCGGAAGCTTGTGTGCCATCACTCTGGAAAGTTTGACAGGCGTCCCCCCCCCCCCTTTTCTTGTTTGCATGGTGTTGACAGTGTGCTGCATGTGCGGGTGACTTGTTTACTTCGGCTCGCTGCGTCGATGCTGCGCTTCAGTTTAACAGCAGCTTTAAGTGAATGGAGTTCATAGGTTTGGACATATTTGTATCTTTTAACATGTGCACATATATTTGAATAAATCTGTATTTTTCCTAAGAGGAATAGTTCTGCAAATTACGAATTAGTGCCTAAACAACTCGATTGTGAAGTAGCCCAGCACACTTACTAGTGTTTTACTGATTCAGCAGTCATCACATCTTTGTAGTAAGGCTATTGCTTAGGGCCCACATACAGTTGCTTATATTCACATTTAAAGGCTTTGATAACATAATGCCATTCTATGACTTGGAAAATCTCCCCAAAATGAGCTTTCACTTAGGCTATCTCACTATGTTTTTTTTTAAATTCCATTTAGTGTTTAATATATTTGGGGGCAAACATGTCTTATTGTTCTTTTTTGTTAGGGGGTGTGGTGTGTATTTGTGGTGCCGCTAAGTAGCAATATGTTGTCGCTTGGTGTCTGCACAGTGAGAATGGTTTTTAATCATATTAATTAAAACTGTTTGCAACAGTAACTGCAGTTATGAAACTCTATCTAGATCTATACGTGATGAGCATAATGGTTGAGGTCACACTGATGAGAAATGGAGTTTCTCTCTCAGATATGTAGACAATGGAAGACATCTTAACAACAGTTGTTTTTTCTTCACTCTTTTACAGATGTTGGATCACATGTCATAAACTTTTAATGCTAGGCCATTTGAAATCTTTCTGCATGATTCATTTTAAGAGAAACTTAACATTTCCTGGATTATGTTCTGCAAACTTTTCACATTTTTTTGTTCCGAGCGAATCCCCCCTTGTGGATTCTGTAATATTTACACCCCAGTATCCACTTTACTCAGTTGACTTTAAGCGTCGTAAACCGCCTTTCTGTGGGTCTTTGTATTTGGGAGAAAGGCCATTATAGTAGCAATGACCCCACCTTCTAGTTTGTGAGACTTTGTGAAATGAGCCGCCTACTTCAAGGACTCAGAAAGCATATAAAAAAAACAAACCTCAACACAGCCTCCAGCGCTGAATAACCTACAACCCAGTATTCCCCATTCGCCCCACTTATACACACACACACACACACACACACACACACACACACACACACACACACACACACACACACACACACACAGGCATGCACAAAGTATTCACCTCTCCCTCTGAGTCCAGTAACCAGGTCCAGGTGTATGTCAGTGTGGGTTATGACAAGAGTATATCTGCATGTGTGTGTATTTGTGCACATGAGTGGTACGCACGTGTGAATGTATATCCAGATGGCATTATACTGTTGCTCCAAATCTTACCTCACCTCATCTGAGGGGTCCGGGGGCAGAAACACCAGGGACCCCGTGCAGGAAAACACTCAGCAAATATGAATGAGAGAAGCAGAAATCCAGATGTGTGTGTGTGTGTGTTTGAGTGTGTGTTTGTGTACTGTTTTTCTTGTTTGTCAATCTAGTAAGTGAAAGCAGTTGTTGAGTCTTCACTGGGAACGGCAGTCTTTTTTTTTTTTAGGTCAGGACCACATCACGCAAATCTAAGGAACAGCCACATTCTCAATTGGCTGTGTAATTGAGTTTCACATCGCAGCTGTATACAGAAAACTTCCCTCATTTGCTCTGCTTGTGATTGTGATGTGTGTGTGTGTGTTTGATTGTGTGTGTGTGCGAATAAGAGGGAGCGAGGCGAAGTGAAACACTTAATATTTTCAGACACCTCGTGACGCGAGACAAGGTGTCTGACGCTGAAGGTTCAGATCAGACCGCTCGAGCTTAATCTGTGGGCCACGAAAAGCAAATTTGCAGGAAAAAGAAACTCAATTTCTGTCTGGAGAGAAGATTAGTCGGACACAAAGAGGAAGAGACTGACAGAATATAGTCAAGGGGGGAACATCTCCACACACACTATGACCCCATGGTACCAAATTCAGCTCGTTTCTTAAGTTATGTGACATGTTTTAAGTTTATTTAAAGTGAGTTTAAGGTAAAAGTAAGAAAAAGAAGCACACACTCCAACAGAATCTGTCGTCACCATCCCTAGTCGGCACCCGAATTACTCATCAGTAAAACTAATTATTAATATTTGCAGGCCCACAGTGGCTGGTTTTAAGTTGTGTCTAAGCTGTAATACAGCCACTGGCCACTAGCTGGGGCTGTAGCTCTAGTTCATGGGCCTCTGCCTGGATGTAAACCAGTATAGAGGATGGACTGGCAGCCAGTTGGAAGCAGCGCAGGTAAACTGGCTTATCACCAATCAGTCAGAGCAATTTGATACCACATTCAGCAAAGTCATGTGGACGTTAACCTGCAAAAAAATGAGTAAAGGATGCCAGAGCTTCCACTGCTATCGTAGCCACACTCAGCGAACCAATTTGATATTTTCTACCTGCAGAGTAATGGATGTTGCAAAGGGTCACACATTTCGCTTTTTCTCAAACCATACCAAGAAAAGTGGAAATGCTTTAAGAATTTAAAAGCTATTACGGTCACCAAATGATTCCCACATGGGTAAATAAAGATAAGTACAACAACAACAATAAGAAAGACATCACAGAAGAGAGAGAGATTTTATAGCAATTGCTCATGTGAACCTGACGACAGTTTGCCAGTGTTGTTCTTCTCTAATGTTCAATTTCACCAGGTTCGAGATGGAGGTGATAACAATCAAAAAGAGATAAGAGCTCTTCAGCCTGAGGCCTGCTTCTTTAAGATATACCTCTCTTTCTTAATTACTGTGTCAATGTGATTTACAGAGACATTCCAACATAAATCTTTACCCGGATTTTGAAACAGTCCTGTGAAATATGTAAACCTTTAAGGGTTGTGAAAAGCCTGGAAGGTTTTTCAAAGATGAAATGCTCCATCACATTGATCCGCATGCCTGGAATTTCATTTTCTGTTGTCCTGAAGCGAAAGAGCAATGTGCACAGGAAGAAGTGCTTACTCTGATGATGTGTGCTGTAGAGCCCGACCGATTAATCGGCATGCCGATAATATCGGCCGATATCAAGTGACTATCGGTATCGGCTAATTTTTATCACAGATATGTTCCAATATTACTCGATTTATTTACCAGTCAATTTCATTTGAGTATTTTTGGATTAAACAAGCAGTTCTCTTTCACCAGCAGAGGGCGCTATTTGGATTACAACAAGCATCATCACTTTCCAGAGTTTCAAGCTGTGACGCACATACATGCACAGTTACTTTTCAGTTGAGTAACCATCTTGTCTTCATTTTATTTATTTTCCACCAGTGTTTGATAACTGCATTTGAGGGATCAAGCAATAAATGTGTATATCTATCTATCTCTACAGCTCGAACTTAGATCAAAGAAAGATATCAGCCGATATATTCAAATCAGATTTTTTCTGTCACCAATATCGATATCAGTATTGGCTGTAAAAATCCCACATGGGTCGGGCCCTAGTGTGTTGTGATGTAAGTGACGTGGTCAATTGTATACCTTTGAGTCTTCCTGCTGCCTTTTCATAATAAAAGCTTTCATCTAAGAAGTTTTCTCTTGCTGTTTTCACACATGCACAAAACTCCTGAAAATGTACAAAAGTTTTCAGGGTGAGTTGCATGTGTGAACACAAAGGTGGATTTTTTCCCCCCTGACTTTATTCAGACTTTCTCCGACCAGACCCCAAGAAAATTTCAGCATGAAATCCGGCCGATGTAAAAACACAGCATGAAATATTCAGGAGTATTCCCCACGAGCGAGTGCGAGGGGTGACTGGCATTTTTATCACACAACCGATGCAATCGTATGTGCAATCAAGGATGCTTTATACTACTGTTGTTGGTTGATCAATTTTAGGATTTTAATGAGCTGCATTTGTTTGGTGAGCTTTATTGCACACTTTAGGTCAAGACAGACTTATATCAATCTGTCAGTCTCTCTGGCTCTCACGTCAGCAGAAGTTAGTTTGGGTTTGTTCAGATTTATGGAGGGCAGATGTGGACAGGTGATGTATCAGGTGATGTAACTCACATAAGGTGATACCATTCTTCATAGCTGTGAGGTTCTAAGTGTTTTAAATCTTTTATCTTGACAAAGGCTCCCTCAGCTGTCAGAATCTCAATAAATTCAAACTAATGCTTCCTTTGATATTTCCCTTATTTTCTATATATGTGTGAGTGAGATCTTTGTCTTCACACATATGGATCCCATTGGGTCTTCCTCTGTTGTCCTCTGAAGCTGGGATGAGTTAAAAGTTTGACCTTTTTTCTTTTTCTTAAGATGGGAGTTATGATCTATTGTCTGTGCTGCTTTGATATAATCAAACAAGCATGCAATGAGACATGCATGGGCACAAAGCCCAAACATATTTTTGTAGTGCATCACACACAATACTCTTGGTGTTTGTTATGACATGCAGATATATATTATTTTTTCATTTAACCTCTATGTGACTAGAAGCAAAGTATGCCTTAGATTATAAATCTGTTTCAAGCGTGCGCTTGCCAAGAAAGAAGGAGCACAGCACAGCTTTAGACATGACTTGAAATGTGTCTAGTGCAACCAGTTCTGAAGATTAAAATAACTTTGCAGGTGATTTAACGCAGAGGGAGAAGTGTACTTGAATGCCCTTTTTCCCATCTCAGCACAGACTTAAGGGACAGTCAGAACGAGTCCTCCTGATACAGACTCATTCATGTCACTTTTTTTAAGGATGCAGATCAGTGGGTAGAATAGAAGTAGACAAAGACCAGCTATCATACCATTGGTATAGAAGAGTGGAAATTTGCATTCACAACATTGGCGATATCTAATGAATAGTAATGGTCCCAGGAACATTCCCTGTGGC